TTGGCCATTTATTATGACTGTTTCGCTTTTGTTATTATTGTTATTATTTTTTTATTATTGTTATTACTACTGTTGCCACTATTACTGTTATTAGTTGCATTAGTGTTATTATTACTATAGTAATTATGCGTGTTATTATTACCTTCTTTATATTATTACTACTCTTTTAAATGTGCTTTTTACTTATCCATTAAAACATTTACTAGGTTCTTTTACATTTCATTGTAACTATTTGTGAAGAGGGGACATTGAATAAAATGGCGAAATTTTTGTAACACAAAAATCAACTCTCGTTCGCGGATGCCGAGCTCTCTCGGGGGATGCATACTTGTGGCTGAGGGATCAAACTGAGGGAAGCGTGGTTGCAAAAGATAGTTACTTGCACTAAGTGCTGTTTTGGCCTTAATCTTATCCTTTTTCAGGACCTGAAAAGCTAATGGCCTAATTTCTGCTTGCAATGTGTGGTCTTCATCACTGGGTTCGTTTAGGTACGTATGGGCGAGCGGCTGACCGATGATATCATCGATGCATATTGTGATAAGTTGCAAGAAAGTATTAACAGGGAAGTTGACGGCATGCTTGCAATGCAGTATATTCTGGTTAGCGATTCCCTCCTGCTCCCCAGTCTTCGTTTTAAGCAGTAAAAAAGAGTAATTATGGAGCTTAACAAGACTGTAGTAAATGACAATGCGTGTGTCACGCAGCAATGTATTTTTACTGTCTGCTAACTGAAACGAGATGCACCGAAATATCGCCGCCCCAATTAATATACTACATGCTATAAATTTTACTGTTGCTTCGTATGGCACTTTTAGTGATTACAAACCCAATTTCTGCTTTCCGGTAAAAATTCGCACTTTTCAACCATTATATCACCTTTTTTTAAAAGTGCTTGTCACTAGGGTCACTCAAGCCGCTTTAAGAGAGGTGGTGCAGATGCACTGAACAGGCGGTGAGTCTAACTAAGAGCATGCAGCCCAACATCGAAAAGCCCGACATCTGCGCTGGGCATGTGGGTGCAACTCAGCAACAGCAAATAACATGGTGACAGGGTACTGTTAACCCGGAAAGTTTCAGCATTCTTAATAACTAGTACTTTCTCCACAGTCCCACATAGGTTGAATTCATTGTTTACCCCGCTCCTAGGCTTGGACACTAACTGGCGTATTTAAAGTTTATTACAAAAATTCTTGAATCCAAACGTGACCATGGACAAAGACTCTTGATCTTTCTAGTTAGTTTTAAACTTTTTTATGTTTTCACCTCCGACACTTCTTTTTTGCTCATTGAGCAACCAAGCTTGTTGCAGTTGGAGCCAGATTCACTAAAAAACTTGATAAGAGGTGACAAAAACGTGTGTCAAGTGATCTATGATCATTGTCGAGCGCATTACGTGGTGTTGTTCCGAAACAAGCTCATTCCGAGACGTGTTGTTGTCTACGATCCCATCGTACCACATAAAGATTCCGTCCGTGACACGGTGAGAAGGCGCTATACCATCTTCTTTTTTTTAGCCACATTTCTGCTGTTATCAAATTGTTTATTCGAATAAAAGAGTTATGAAGCGTCCAAGAAACTATCAAAAAACTGTTTCATAGATTAATAAAAAACAAATGGACTGATAAAGCTTTTATCAGTAAATCACTGCAGCTCAATGAGAGCGTCCGTCAGCAAATCCTG